CTCTCTCTCTTTCTTCCTCCCTCCCTCCCCTTCCTTCCTTCTTTCTCTCTCTCTCTCTCCCTCCCTCCCTCCTTCCCTCTCTCTCTCTTTCTTTCTTTCCTTCAGCTGTGCCACGCAGTTTGTGGGATCTTAGTTTCCCAACCAGGGATTGAACCTGGGCCACCCGGCAGCGAAAGCACCAAGTCCTAACCACTGGATGGCCAGGGAACTCCCCAGATCTCTCTTTATATGGTGTGTAGCCCCTAAACTGAAGACGCCAACTCATCCTACGATAAGCTGCGGTGTTACTGTCATGGAGCCCCGCCCCAGCATGTGGTCTGCCTCTTGCAGATCTGTGAGGGCCCAGCAGCACCTGCCCTACCCCTGACGCAGTATCCCTTTAAGTGAAACTCGTTGAATTTTTATGTGCCACACTAGCTGGATGGTGACACTGCTGTCTGAGGGGTGAGTGCTGTGTCTGGCAAAAGTACATGATGTTTTGTTTGGGGTTCAGGGGAGGTGCACTGGGGGAATTGTTTGTTTTGCTTTTAATAAAGGAGGAGGGGGCCATTTATCAAACTTTGGTTTGGGACCCCCAAATACAGCCATACTGATGAGGCTTGTCACTGTGCTGGCTTTGTGACCCTAAAGGAAATTCTGGTTAACCATAAAGCGGGGAAGGAGTGATTTAGCAACATGGGGGGAATCTGACAGTTGATCCAAGAAGGAGTGTCCACAGGTGAGTTTTCTGAGCAAAACCAGGTTTGGGGTATTCTCTTCTGTTAACCTGACCTAGAGAGAGAGGCTTCTGGGTTGTTCCACCCCCACCCCCTTGCCCCTTCCCTTCCCCCTTCGCAGATGCCAGCAGTGAAACCCTAGTTTCTCTCTTGGAACAACTGCCAAGGGGAAGCGTGTAGTTTCACTCTCCAGGGCAGGAACCCAACATGCTGCTCTGTATCCCTCAGCTGCTGAAAATATGGAGTTCATAAATCCTCCCAAGATGAATTTGCTACCCTTCCCAAAAGGGTGTGCATTTTGGGAAAAGGCTTCTCTTGCAAAGGATACAAGTAGATCGCCATAGTAGACCTCATAGCTCCCTGTGTCCCACTTAAATCAGACCCCAAGGCCACAGGGACACCACATTCTGAGTTTTCTAGGACAAACCTGTGCTAGACAGAAGAATGGCCCCCAAAAGATGTCCACATCCTAATCCCGAGAACCTGTGATAATATTACCTTACATGGTAGAGGGACTTTGCATCTGTGATTAAGAATTTTGAGATGGGGAGAGTGTCCTGGGTTATCTGGGTGGGCCCAGTGTGATCCCAAGGGTCCTTATAAGAGGGAGGCAGGAGGGTCACATGCAGTAGTGAGAAGTGATGACAGATGCAAGAGGTAGGAGTAATTCAAGGAAGGGACTACAAGCCAAGGAATGCAGGTGGCTCCTTTCTAGAAGCTGAGAAAACAAGGAAATGGATTCTCACCTAGAGCCTCCAGAAGGGACCAGCTCTGCCAACACCTTGATTTTAGTTCTGCAAGATTATTTCGGACTTCTTACCTCCAGAACTATAAAAGGATAAATTTGTGTTGTTTTAACTGCTAAGTTTGTGCAATTTGTTATAGCAGCAACAGGAAACTAATACAGCTGCCTTCTGTCCCCTGGAACACCCTTGTCAGGCTGTGTGCCCATATCTTATCTGATCAGTATGGTTATTATACATAGAAGCTTACAGCATAAGAAGTAAGGAGATGTGGACCACAAAAGCATGACTCCTTGGGTTCCATTCTTACATAGAGTGACCAACTCATCTTGGTTTGCCTGGGACTTCACCAGTTTTAGCACTGAAAGCCCCCAGGTCCTGGGAACCCCCTCAGCCTTGAGCAAAGCAGGACATTTGTTCCCCCTAAATCCTAGCTGCTCACTTATTTAGTCATGTGACTTTGAGCAAGTTACTTAACTTTCTCTGTGCCACAGTTTCCTCATCTGCAAAATGGGGATAACAAGATTGTTGTGAGAATTATTAATTGGGTTAATAAGTAGGATGGTGCCTAGGCCATTGAATGTTAAGCAGATATTAGCTTTTATTATTATATGAGACCAGGTGCAGTACAGAAGTTCCTGGAGTTGCTTTGTTTGGAAGAAGTAATATTCTTGAAATTCTCAGACCACCGATTGAATCTCCTTCAACGTTTGTCTTTCTTTACCTTCTTCTGATGGTCAGGGAGCCCCTCCCTTCTCTCTGAGCCCATGAAGACTTGTTTCGTGGGAGGCAATGTGACGCTCACCTGCGAAGTGTCTGGAGCCTACCCCCCCGCCAAGATCCTGTGGCTGAGCAACCTCACCCAGCCGGAGGTCGTCATCCAGCCCAGCAGCCACCACCTCATCACCCAGAGTGGCCAGAGCTCCACCCTCACCATCCGCAACTGCTCCCAGAACCTGGACGAGGGCTACTATGTCTGCCGGGCTGAGAACCCCGTGGGGGTGAGGGAGGTGGACATCTGGTTGAGCGTGAAAGGTGAGTGAAGTGGCCCCGGACGAGGAGGAGGGCCGAGAGCATCAGAGGACCTGGCATCAGCATGGGGACAGCTTGGTGCCTCCCTACATGTGGGTCACTGCCATCTGGGAGAAGGCCTGTCTGCTTCCCTGTGGCTTGACAAGGTGGATGGGAAAATTATTGTCCAGTCCTAAATCTCTAACATTTGCATAGGGATAAAAAAGTTATTTAATATCTGTTATATCCTAAAGGAAAAAAATATATGTATATATTAAAATAAAATACATACATGTATAAAATATATATTATATATATATATATATAATGTAAGCTGAGAAACATAATAGCAAAATGAACACCCAGGAAACTAACATCCCACTTAAGATAGAGAACAGTGCCAACACTGCTGGAATTACCTGCAGAGAGTGTGACTAGTGTGGCCAGATTTAGACTGTGGCTAGTGTGGCCAGCTAAGAAAACAGGATGCTCACTTAAATTTGTATTTCAGAAAAACAAGTAATAATTTTTTTTTTAATGAACGTCCCCAGTATTGCTTGGGACATACTTATTCTAAAAAAGTTTTTCATTGTTTATCTGAAATCCAAATTTAAGTGAGCACACAGTATTTTATCTGGCAACCCTACCTGTAGGCCTGTTTCCAGGCTTATCCTGGGCCTTCTGAAAAAGGTGACCACTATCCTGAGTTTCATGTTTTATTTAAGAAAAAATATGCTGCATACGTACATATTTCTACATAATATATTGTTTGTTTTAGAGTTTTGGAAAATGGTTGTTACCATACAAGTGTAGTCTTTTGTAATTTGCCTTTTTTATCCCACATTTTGTTTCCAGAATTTATTCATGCTGATGTGTATAATTATACTTTGTACCTCTGTACTGCTGTATAATTTTCCATTGTATCACTACTCCACAACTAAGTTATTGATTTTCCTGCTG